CCTACCACCCAATGAGAGCTGTCCTGGATGGTACTAACATGAGGGAAAACATTCCTCCAAACATGAGAGCTTAAATCAGAAAGTCCAGATGGGTGGTTTTCTATTTGTTGTAGAAACCTGTTTCCCTTTTGTGATGTTTTCTTCTGTGTTTTTGTTAATTTGCAGTTGTTTGTCTTACCAAAAAAAATCAAAAAAAAGCCTTGTAACTGTATCAATTTGAACATTGCATGATCAAATGTCTTTTAAAACATGATCGAATCTTTTTTACTTTTGAAATTGCATACCAAGTTACTTTTTGATTGAGTTACGCAATTGGAAAAAAATTGGAAGTTTCATAATCAGATGTCCTTTAAAACATGTCAAAACTTTTTTAACGCCAAACTATTTTTTGTTTGTATTATGCACAGTGGCAATAAAACGATTCATTTAATCGTCTCGGCAAAAAAAACAGTGGTAAAACAGTAGTAATACAATGTCAGTACATTAACATCCATGTTCTCGTTTGATCTCCTTGTTATATATATATATATATATATATATATATATATATATATATATATATATATATATATATGGTTTAATTTGCAAACCGCATCAATAATACAAACTTTATAAATCCATCTTCACCCTTGATTTTATTGATAAATGATTAAAAATGAGTGAGTTATTTATATTAAGAAAAGACAATTAATACACTCTACCTGAATTAGAGTTGAAAAGGGTAAAATAGTCAAAAGATATTTTTTGAATATTTATTTTATTTTTGGTTTAATTTTTATTTTTGGGATTAATTAATGGTATGCAATATTTTTTGTAACAATTTAAATATTTATTTTTATTCAGATTTTTTCCTAGTTTCATGTTTTGTTTTGTTTTTTCAAGTTTCATTTTTCATGTTTCATATTCTCGTGTTTCATGATTCCATATTTTCGTTAATGAAAAAAACTCATGATTTCATGGTTTCATTAATAAAAAAAACCCATAACTTCAAGAATGAAAAAAAAAACTCATAATTTTATGGTTCATAATTTGTGAATGAAAAACCTGTCATTGATGAACGAACCGATCAGATTTTTTTTTGAAACTAAGAAAAGACAGTATACAAAACCAAATATTATTGAATGATAAATTATTATTTTTATTACATAATCCTTATCGATTTACGCTATTAACGAAAATGAAATAAAAAATTCTTCTATAAATAAACCAAATAAAATTTGTTTTATTAATGAAAAATAATGAATAAATAAAATCTTGCATAAATAAACGGGAAAATTAATGTTAATCCCAAAATACTAGGTAGTTGTAACATACCATTTTTATCCGTGGATTAAGTGAATGACGAATTAGCCCTTATCTTAAAAAAATCGAAAATATAAAGAATTTTATGATGGCCGAATTTGGTGTGCATGGTTTATACGAATATGGATGGTTTACATTTGATTGCTCCCGTATATATATATATATAGAGGGGTTCAGGGGGAAAAACCCTGAAAAAAAATGAAAAAAAAATGAAAAATTGAGGAACACCCTGATAACCATTCATCTGGACGATATGCAAATATGCATACATCTAATTGAAGTTGTTTCTTGATTTTTATGCACGTGCGTATATTATGCACGAGTATACCGGACAAACTATTCACAAATTACTTATATACACATGTATATACCGTCCGAATGAACGCTTACTAAGGTCTTCCTCAGTTTTTTTCATTTTCTTATGTGTTATTATGTCATTAAGTTTTTTTCAAACAACTAATGATCCATTCTTTTGTGTTATTAATTTATTTTATTAAACTATGAATCAAGTCAAATACTACAAGAAATCCGTCTTTTAGTCAAAGTTATTGAGCCACAAATACAAAGATTCGTGATGAATTTCTTAATCCAAGATATATAAGAAAGATCTACTGGTTTTTTATTTTAAAATATCAGTAGTTATAATGTCTTTTTGATACTTTTGAACAGATATAATATCTTAGCCCGTGAGTCATCAATACAAAAGCATCCAAAACACTGAAAACCAAGATTATTTTCCAAAACAATTTTTTAATAAGATAACTTTGTTTCTTATTAAGATAAATTGTATCAAAATTGAACTAATTTGTTTCAGATCATCTTTTGGGGACCTTATTTTCAAAAACTTGATTCTGTAGAACGTATTATTTCTAAGATACAATCAAGAGAGCATATTATGTCTAAAAGACGGTGGTTTATTCAGGAATTTTAAATATTTTATGAACCTAAGAACCACTCTTTTGTGCATACTCAAGATGAATAATGTGTTGATGAATGTTATGACACAAAATTGAGCTTTTTCTATTAAGGGTTTTAAAATAAAAATTACAATAAGAACATGATTCATTTTAATGCAATTTACTTTTTCTATTTTTACTTTTAGGGACCGTTTACCCAATTGCTTACCCGGTAAGCGATTAGCGATAGAAGTCAACACTATGATTTATTTTCATGCGTAAGATTTTAGTATATCAAAACATATCGAATGCAACAATTTAGTGGGTAAGCGTTTACTTAGGTAAGAGTCGTCATCTTCACTTACCGGGTAAGACTCTCCATAATTCTCATCGCTCTTACCGGGTAAGATTCTTGACCATTCTCATCTTCATCTGATGAGGAAATTTATCCGGTAAGTACTTATCAAATAAGTGTTTAGTAAACGGCCCCTTAGTTTTCTTGGCTCGGGTTCTATTTTTCTAATTGTCCTGTTCAGAAATTATATAATTTACTAGTGTTTAAGGAATGATTTTCGTAATTCACTTGTAATTACGAAAGTATTAAAAGTGCATTGTTTGACGTCTCGTCACTGATGCATTATCAAGGGCTAAAATTGTAATTACAGAGGAACCACATAAATCCATCCCGAATTTAATGGCTAAACTATAATACTGTAACGGATACTGTAAGAAAGGTCTTACAAAAACACAACTCAACAACAGGATAATAGAAAACTTCACACCTCCCGTTCTTATCTGTAACTCCACACCTCGAAACATGCCATTCTTTTATAGAGATAAAAGTTCCTTTTTTATATCTTCTTAACCCGAAATGTCTGAAGAGTGCAAATGTTCCTTTCTCTTGAAGCTACTCTTGGGAACAGATCCAGTAAAGACGAAATGTAGCATGCAGCTCAGAAGATCAGAGGACGTGGCTACAAACCACATGATCAAAAAAATCTTAATTTATAAAGACAACTTGGGGCCGTTTACCAAACGCTTACTCAGGTAAGCGCTTAGCAAGTCACATTATCTTACCGGTCTACCGGATGAATATGGTAAGGACCAAGAATCTTACTTGGTAAGAGGAAGACAAAGACCGAGAATCTTACCTGATAAGTGGGGGCGACGACTCTTACCATGGTAAGCACTTACCGGGTAAATTGTTGCATACAATACTGTTTTGGTGGACAAAAGTCTTACCCGATAAGTAAGTGGTTGTGCTAAATTTTACCTGTAAGTGCTTACCGGGTAAGTTAATCAGAATAGCCAGGCTCAATTTATATTGGATTTAATGGGAAAAGAAAATTCAAACAACACCTCTAAGTATTATATTTCTACTCTATAATAATCGATGTCATAAATCCTTTTTTTAATTTATAATTAAAAAAATAATGAAATTGTAGTGTGAAGGTGATGGGAAGAGAAAGGGAGTGGATATGTGGGAGATTACTAGCAACCAGCTGTTCTCTACAATCACCTCTCTCAAAATGGAAAATGTTATTCATTTTCAAAACTCCCATCATACTTCCCATAACTACTTCCAACTTTGACTTTCTCCACATAGTCAAATCATGATGTCATCATGATGTTTTGCACATCTGTTCATACCAGCACTAATACATTCAGACAAATTAACCCGACAGGAGCAGCATACCTTTGCACCAACCAGAGTCACCAACCATTGCCTTGAAAAATTTACAATACCCACAATTATCACGAATACACCACCATCCGCAGCGGCGTTGCCAACTTATAACCATCGATCTTTAACTGAAACTAGAAGGATATAGATAACCACAGTACTGATGATTCACGTGAAATGAAACGAAACCGACCCAGTAAATCTTATGCTTAGATAGAGCCAAAGAGGTGGAGGAAGGGGTTAAGATGTATGTAGACCTTACCTCTACCCCTTAGTCCCTAAGGGGTAGAGAGGTTAAAAGTTAAAAGAAACAAGCAAACAAGCTACATATGAAAAATGTGCGCAAACAAGAAACAGATGCACTAAACAGAAAATGCGTCGGGATTGATGCGAGGGTAAATACCTTAAACCAACGAAGAAATACAAAATACGGTACTGGCAACTGACAAAGAAAATCTAAGATTGTGTGCTTAAAACATGTCACACAAGTAGAAACAATACTGATGATTTCGCATGTTGCACGCAAAATCAAACACCAACACGACTCGCTGGTATTGTATTGAAATCCTTCATTTAAGTTAAGGAAGGGGACATACAAAGACCGTACGACTAACAAGATCTACGGAATTGTATCAATTTGTTTAAGATTTAAGAAGGGAATATTCGTTGAATACCTAGAATAGAAAAAGAAGGCTTTGGTCCTCCTAGGTATAGATTAAGTGGGACCAAAAGAACAAGGATATGCCACCTCTGCAGGGAAACCGCGTTTAGAAACAGGAAAAACAAATCTCTGTCCTCCAAAATCAAAGTGCTCATTTTCATAAAAAATGGTCAATTACCAAGATTCCATAAGCAACAATTGATTATAATAATAACACAAAACTGAAAGGACACATGTCGATCCTCTGAATGGTCCAAACCAAGTCTATAGAAAAGATCATTGTCTTGATGCAAAGATAATATACAAAAAATCTATTTCTGATTCATGAAACCAGATTGAAGCTGCTTGGAAGCTCTCTTCAACAACTTATAATATATATTAATGACTTCCATTATATCCACATCTATAAATACATGCCTAGATTTCTTTCTAATACTACATTATTCTAGACGAACGATCTAAATATGAATGGAAACCGTTCTAACAGTGGAGGTGGAACTTCTTCGGTCTATAGGGGTGTCCGCAAGAGGAAATGGGGCAAATGGGTATCTGAAATCCGTGAGCCAGGGAAGAATTCTAGAATCTGGCTAGGGAGTTTTGAGACACCAGAAATGGCGGCAGCAGCCTATGATGCGGCTGCATTTTACCTCAGGGGTGATGTGGCGAGGCTTAATTTCCCAGAAAGGGCAAATGGGCTCCCCAGGCCGGTTAACCATAGTGCAGACTGTATACGCATGGCTGCACAAGAGGCTGCCGTGCGGTTCAGACCATCCATGCCAGAATATGAGCAAGACCAGGGTGGCTCAAGCTCAGGCCATACAGTGCCAGTCAATATCGGACTTTCCCCTAGCCAAATTCAAGCAATAAATGATTCACCACTTGATTCCCCCAAAATGTGGATGGAATTGAGTGATGCACTTATTGCAGACCAAAAAATGTATTTTTCTAACACTGCTAACTTTGATCATATGGGTGATTGGGAGGAGATACCTGACTATTCCCTCTGGGATCCTTAGAAAAAGTCTGACCATAACATATATTCATTATGCATTATAATAGTTCTGCATGGGAACTTGTTAAACAATATTTTTTTTAAACTAAAAAAGGGTCAGAGTTGCCAAAAGTTAGCTACCTTAAAATATTAGAAAATAAGACTAGTTAGGATTTGGGTGTGATAGCTTACTATGATAAGTAATCGTAGTATTCTAGCATCAATTTTCCTCCATTATTCATCTTCATTCAAGGATGGAAGAAGAGATGCATAATGAATAAAGGTCCAAAGAGCTACTTTTGACCTTTGGTATGGCCCAAGAATAAAGAATCAGCAAGATAATCTTTAACAGCATGTGGGAATCACAGTTAACATATTCATCTACTGGGAATTCCATCAGAGGAGCTGATTTTTTAAAGCTCATTTAACACTACTGATTTGGATGGTTGTTGTAGTACCAGCAGGGCCAGGTGGTTTAGCAGAATGAATTCTTTTGTGTGTTGTGTTGTTTTCTTTTCTATGTAAACAGCAATATTCCTGTAAGGTTTGATATGCCAATTATGTTGATTTCTATAAAGATGGTAGTCATTTTATCATGGGTTATTTAGCTAAATGGCCTCCTGACAAGTGCTTTTTAAATCTGTGACTGGTTTTTAAGCATTCTTCTATCAAACTTGTCTGAAGGTCGTTTAACCCAAGGACCCATTTTATCATCTAGTTGTGCAGTTCCTACTGGTGCATGCTACAGGCCTGTAGTTTCTACATGTTATCCAATAAAGATGATCATCTCAGTAGCAACATTCAGTCAAAAGTTTCTATTATTTTCAAACACAATGCATATCGCATGCCCTTAACTACGGGTGGTCTTTTTTTCTAACAGAAAAGAAACTAGTATGGCGACTAAACCCTGTTAGTATATTTCAAGAAGCTGAGTCGGTACCAATTGGGACAAATCCTGCTAGTTAGCCATGGTTAATCCCGATATCACAAGTTAAAAATGAAAATTCATGTAGGCAAGAAGCAATAGGATTTACAAAATAGAAAGATTTTATTTTACTTCTTTTACCCATGTTGAAGAATGAGAGGTCTGCCTTTTAGTTTTGTGACTTAAGGGGACGTTTACCAGACGCTTATGGAGTAAGCACTTAACTCAAGAGACATCACTCTCACTTACCTTATCCTGTAACATTCTTGGCCATCAAAATGGATTGTTGGTAAGCATCTTCAACCCGGTAAGTGCTTACTGGGTAAGAGTTTTTTCCCTCACCGGGTAAGACTCTCAGTCCTTACTCTGCCTCTTACTGGGTAAGATTCTCGGTCCTTGTCATGCTCAATCGGTAAGGTAAGTGAGTGATATCAGTAAGCGCTTACCCACCAAGTGTTTAGTAAACGGCCCCTTACAATTCATTTGATAGATAGGCCATGTAAATGTCTTGTTTACTTACAACAGCAGATGCTTTCTATGATCCAATGAACCACATACACACCTAGTCATCTGTTGATCTTTGTTATTACTTTCTTGATTAATCTTAGTTATTTTTCAAACCCTTCATTCAACTATCAACTACACACCATTGACCTCCCACTATGTTGCATAATTCGTTGCTTATGCACCTCCTCGCCATTGATCTCTCACTATTCTCGTATCTTTTATTCATATTCGCTAAACCCATTTTCTTGAATCAAAGTAAACGAACGTGGTAGCCCAAGCAAGAACCCATATTTGATTTATTATACCAGAGTTTGAGTAAACCTAATTTGAATTTTAACTAAATCAGCTACAATGTGATCATATATAACTGGAATGTTTAAACTGCCTAAATAAGTTTGAGATATTAATGTCCAGAATTATTCATCCGCTCCTAAAGAAGATCTGCAGTTGGGGGATTTGACACCTGCTCCACTTATATACTTGATTAAAATATTTTGGTTTGGTTTGGTTTGGTTTGGTTTGGTTTGGTTTGCACATTCACCATTTATGATAGAATATACTTGATTAAACGTGCTTTTGTCAGGTATGAACAGGGATGAGGTCTGTTATACTTCTTAACTAAGATAAGAGAATCTATAAAATCTCTTCCACATATCTAACTTACTTGTCATTTTGAGGAATACAAGAGGTGTGATACCCATGAAAATGCAAAATGACTCATTTCAGCATTTATATATATATAAGGAAGGGTTCAAACAAGAAGACATTCATTTTACGAAATTGTGAGAACATCCTTTTATTATAGTTAATCATATTGATATTGTATTCCATCTCATGTGATCTTAAAAGAGAGATGTGCACGACCTTTGGTCTTAAACTAGAGATGTGCACGACCTTTGACGCGACCAAGTTGACCGCAAACCAACAGGCTCCATCACGTGTATCATCACATGTGATAAGGGCGTTCTCGTGTTTTCGTAAAATGATAGTGTTCTCATTGGAACCTCCACCTATATACATATAGGGTTAGGTTCCGGTGAGAATGGAAGTTATGGTGAGAAGGGTGAGAAGGGATCTCCATCCTTGGATCAATCCTAATTGAAGGAAAACCTCATGAGATGCACCAGATTAATTCCCGTATTAAGTGCAAATCATGGGGTAGGGGTGAGATTAAAAATGATCAAGGTTCCAGATCCCTTCTTATGCTTCTCACCCTAACTCTCATTCTCACACGATGCTTCGTCTACATATATATATAGCATTGCAAACTTCTGACAAGATCATTTGCAGACACATCACTTAGTACATAGCAAGGGTTGTTTGATGAAAAAGAAAAGGTATATCAGTAAGTTCTAAACAGTTGAAGTTGGGCTCTACTAACATGTTCATATATTGCATGGCCTACTTCTACATCCAGAAAGTTGGTTGATGAATGAAGCACCAGCAAACTCACTCCACATGTGACATGCCCCCTCCACTTTCAGATTTTGCCCTGCAAATCAACCAATAATTATACACATGAAAAGATTGAGAAACATCAATTCCCACTCATTTTATTTCATTTTGTTTATAAACTTCAATTCAACGTCATATGGGTTCAAAAATCTTATTGTTACAAAGGTTAATACTGAACAATGCCTAAATTAAGTTTTTAAGTCAACTTACACACTTTATTACTTGATTGCGACATGTATACGTGTGATATTGGACACATAAACATAAGAACTGTAAACTCTCTTACTAGCTAACACTATCATCTAAATCGTAGGGGTGAAAGTAAACGATTTGGCACTTACTTGTGATCAGAAGGATTTGGCATAAGTTCATAAACAATTGTTGCAACAACATCTCTCTTTAGCTGTAAAATCATAAAAGTGAAATTATGAACTAAGCACCAAGAGCTTCGTGGAACCTACGACCATCCCCACATCACAAACACAAAAGTAATGAAGAAAAGACAAGTACTGAAACAAGGAAAATAATTTCAAAATAAGCGTACCTGAGTCGCTTCCCCTTTGAGCCCGATGTATTGTATTCTAGATGTATCACCACCATAATTATCAGGAAAATGCAAAGTCAGATTTCCAACACCTTGGAACCTAGAGTATCTGGTAGAACACATCAATCAATATGCATTAAGAAAGTAACATCTTACAAATTTGGTATTTTAAAAGCGAAATAGAATAAAAAAGGTCCTTGTATTTTTACAATTCTTCCAAATACATACTCGAACAAATAAGATATCTCTATTACATACTTGTATTTTTAACAATCATATCAATTACATATTTTTTGTCCAATTTCAATCAGATTTTATCACATAAATGGTTAACTTAAGCGAAGAGAATGAAAGGAAGAACAACTTTATGGAAAGCATGTCAACATCTCAATCATTAATGATGCTTTACAATACGTAATTTGATTAAAATTATACATAAATGATATAACAGATACTATTATGGAGCATAAACATGTGATTGACAAATATTTCTTTTTGTTGATTATGTAATTTAATGAGGTGTAAAGTACAATGATTTTATAGTTATTTTGTATATCCAAAATACAAGAAGCTGTCTAAATTTTCGCTGCATACATTCATTATTGTAAATTGTCCTAGTACCAGTTTATTATAGCAGCAGATAGGGTTCCTGCGACTATCTCATAAGGGTGTACTATGTCACTTACAGATTCCATGCAACATCCTTTTCAACTCTCTCTGCATATATTTGGATTGAAATATAATACCATATTCCCAAATTGGATTTCCAGACAAACAATCAGGTAGCAGAACATATCATCACAACAGAATGGATACACAGGGAAGACGGCCAAACTTATTTGGGAAATTTTGAAGATCAGCAGACCTTAATTGTTAACTTGTGATCTATGCTAAAGTTAAATCATACTCCATGGACACAGAGTTCATTAATGTTACTAATAGCTGATTTTACCAACTAGTGGTCTAATGAATCTATAAGGAAATATGAAATGAAAGGTGATACATATGAAGTTGTGTGTCAATATAATAAAAAGAAACAACTGTGCACCTTGTCTGGTATTCTAAGACTCCTTGCAAATTTTCTGCCAAATCCCACTCCTAGAAGAGATGATAAAATTTAACATAATTATATAAGTGAAAAGAGTTGCAAATGATAGATCTTCTGACATGTTTAACCTGCAGACCTGAATACTTTGCATACTCTGAGCATCTGAAAAGTCAATTCCTTCTCTATTTATAAACCTACATGTAATAAGAACATTCCATAAGTATGAAAAACAAATGGGATGAAAATTCAAAACATTCTGACTACATATAAGAGGAACCAAGTGCTATGCATCCTCAAAGTATTCTTAATTTTGTATTATAAACTATGGTGTGTCCCATGTTACATCATACAGTAAAGCCAAAAAGTCAAATTTTGGGTTAAGTTTGTAACTACTAAAAACTCTTGTAAAATAATTAACCAATGTAAAGGATGAGGTTATTAACCCAAAAGTATAACAACTAAGATAACTATTTGGTAAATAAACATCTTTTCAAACATTGCTATTTCAAACCAAAACAACCAAACCACACATGGCAAAAAGGCCTACAAGTTTGACTCCTTTGATAAAATGATAACACTCCACCTGAGCAATCAAACAGAACTGAAATTTCATGGGTTCAATTTTTTTTATCAATAAGATCACAAATGGTCATAAAACTTAGAGAACCTGTCTTTATTAGTTAATATCATTTTCTTGTTAATGTTCAATTCGTTTGTGCTAGAAAGTGATTTAACATTTCTAAGAGAGTAATTTTAGAGAATTTTTCAAACAATTTATCTATGGTATTTGTCTCCTAGTGTATAGAAGTCAGTTTGAACACAAAATGATAGACCTTGTAACAGCACAAATAATATTGTGCACCTGCACTTCTAATTGTTTTTCACAATGTCACAAGACTAACAAACTTTATTATACGGTTAATGTCTTCTGTTCCGTCAACAAAATTCCCACATGCACTCTGAAATTCACTTAAATACCCAATTATCAATTATTAGGTCTCCATCATTTTCATCACATACCATCAGTTAAAACCTACGCTCGTGGGACAAAGTTTCTTCTTCTAAAAATCTTTTAACAGGAGCAGGAATTTTGTTGATGAACTGGAGTACCATGACCAAGTAATGAAGAATTCATTTTATACGCAAATGGCATAATTTCTTTGAAGCATGATTCATCAAAAATCAATTTCTTTCATTAGTTCATACATGAACAGTTGTCAAGTTTTCAACTTGCTGGTTAAAAAGAAATCGTACACCGACAGTGTGCTAATATTTATCTCTATAATTTAAGTGATCGATCCTGTGACTGTTTTAGGAGAAGCTTAAAAGTACAGGTGTCAAAACATTACTTTTAGCTTTTTACGATGATTGGCATTCCAATGTTATTACTGTTCGAAAAAGGGATAAACTGACCCCAAAGAAAAACAATGCCAGAGTTTCAACTAACAAACTCAAATGAGATCATGTATAGTCTTCTGTCAGGGGAGGATTTTTAAGTTCTCAGTGTTTTAGAGAAGTAGCTGAACAAGTAGGGTTTTAGAGTTCTACTTACGCTCTCATCTTGGAAGGACTTGTTCCATCAGCACCACCAACGATTGAAATGCTCTTTATCTTAACATCGGATGTAAATCTATCATAAGCAGTTCCAACAAATGAACATAAACAGTCAACTCACAAGCCCAGAAATAAACATGATGCAGCATGGAAATCTGGGATCACCCATTTCCAAAAAAAACATTGATGCAGCATGGAAACCTGGGATCACCCATTTCCAGAAAAAACCTTGATGCAGCATTACAAATAACATTCTTTCCAATATGGTCACCGAGTCTCGTCAAAAATACCACAAATCACATATTTTTGTCATGCCGTATCCTGGGCATTTTATAACAGTCTTCTAAGCAATAAACTGCTAGATGTAGTTGTACCTTAGACTTTATTACCGGTATCTCTTATTCTGCCGTTTGGTATCGAGACATATTAGATATATTAGTGATAAATAGGGTTTGACAATTCTGACCCAAATCACATCTTGTATCTAATATACATCAAGGATACTCCTTTTATTAAATATACAATAAATTTTAAACCCTAAATCTGTTTACATGGTATCAGAGCCTTAATAACCCTAGCTGCCACCTCCACCTAGCAACCTAATCGCCGCCCCTGAAGCCTGTCACCACTGCTCCTTGAAGCCACATATGCATGAGATTGTACTGTTAATATTATATATACAGGATTGCCCTTACTATATCATTATAGAGATTTATTTTAACCATGAACTGTTTGACGCCATCAGTTTTCCATGAATGGACCAAACACATAGGAGTTGACTGTCATCTTGTGCAAGACAGTATCATTGGCACTAGATCTCTGTTACAAGGATAAGGATATGGGAATACGGATATATGATACATGGATACTGCGATTAAGGGAAACAAGAAATTGAGGGATATGGGTGCATATGCATATGTATGTGTGTCTATATACAAATCTAAAACCAAACCAATAAACAAAAAAGTTATTTCATGGTTCCTACTTAGAATATGCAAGATAGATACACAGTAAACCCCAAAGTCTTATGATGCTTCTACTTTTACATGGTATCCACATAAGTCCGCACTATTAGAAAAACTTTCTTCTTGCTTTGACTTGTTTTACTCCTTCACAATCATAAAACTTGTGTTTAAATTTAATTTTAGTTTTGGTTCTAATTATGCAAGTCGAGAACTTCCGTCTCAGTTTTTGGTAAAAGAACCAAAATTTCTTTCATGCATCCCCATTTCCGTATCTTTTCTTGTCAATAATTAGGGGATAAGGTCAATGCTTCATAAGTGCACACCCCCAAAGCAGCCAATATGGGGATTTGGCAATGAAGAAAGCACCATTGCTTCCTAGAACAAACCAAACATCCATATAATCAACCCATTCATATCCAGATAGATCATCAATTAGAAAATGTCATGAAGAAACCTCTATGGAATGAAATTGACTACATGTGCAACAAATTGGACATGACTGATATCTATGCCCGTAACAGAAGATGTCTTAGAGGCTTGGCAGATAGTAAATGAATTGGTTTAATCTGCAACCCTATGAGATTGTAATGTAAACATTACAAATACAGGATTTACCTGCCAATATATGCATATTTTTTAACCTTGAATTGTTTCAATCTGCAACCCTCGAAACTTAAGAGAACTAGAATTTAAAAAATCCTCAAAAAGATGATGGCGTATCAGAATATACACTCACAAAGAATAAGATCAATGCCATGGTTTATCTTAAAAGGATAATAAAATGGATAAAACCATAAGCTGGCAGAATGCTCATTGAAAAAACAAGGTTTTTATCGCAATTGTCCACCAAGCACTGGGAAGAAACACTAACTGAATACTCCTATAATTTATATTGGTAATCACTATCTGCATATGTTCCAATCCATTAAAGATCCCAACTTCATCTTTCTTATCAAAATGGCCATTTCTAAAATAAATTAGAAACAAATTGTCTAGCATCATCAGGCAAATCATTAAATGCAGAAATGCAATACAAGAAGACCCCAATTCTAAGATGCACAAAGATACAATGGAAGAAGGATGAGAATACAAAAAAATGAGACAAGTAACAAGTCAGGTATAGTTGCCATAACTTATCATGAACACTGAAACAATTTACTACTTACGGAATAAAAACAATTAACTCAGGATCACCCTCATTGCTTTCCAAGAAACCCTGTACCAATAAAGAAAATCCCTAATCACATATAGGTAGAAATGCTAGGCAATAACTCGGGTAAGAATCATAGAATGCATAGTTAGCAACTCAAATAATAAATAGGAAGTAGAGTTTGCAGAACAACTCCAACCCACCCACTCGACAACAGCATAAAGAGGGGTTGGGTAGAAAATCCAGTTCTGAGTGTAAAAAAGGGAAAGAGGAAAAAAGAGAACACACACACTAAAACATAACGAGGGGGTGAACCCCTGCCATCATGTAAGTCGAAAACTTTATAGCATGCTTTCTATGGTAGTTTTCCAGACGAACATATGGCACATTATCAAGCAGTAGATTGAACTCAAGTTGGGGGCTAAGATCATCGATATTAGCAGCTAGTAATAGCTCTCAACACAATGTGGACAATTTATCAGGAAACAAGGAGCTTGATTGAAATGTGAAGATATCATCTTGGGGTTCTAAATAGAGCAATACACAATAATGAAATATGTTCAGAGAATCCTAAGTAGATGGGTAAAATTTCATCAAGTTCAATTGAACTAGTAGTGAGGTTTAATACATGCATATATAGGCACATAAGTAGACTTTGAATTTAAAATTTTGTCTTAAAAACATCTCTTTGGCTTTTATCAATGTCATCAATATGCAGAGTCTGAAGAGATGGGCATTTCCTATGTATTCTGTAGGACTCAAAGTTCATATTGGTCTTCTCACAGCCATCTAAACAGTGAGCAAAGAGAGAATATCTTAATATTAGCTTTGTTAAAGAGGAAGATGGCTTTATATGTACATGAGACACAAGTATTATGTCTGTCATTTTAAGTACAAAGAAAGATGGTGTCCAGGAACTACTATTCTAGTCTCGGTATTTTAACTTCCACCCCCATAAAATAGTCAGCACTGACATAAGGTTACAAGATTCAGAGGTATTAGAACCCTAGTTCACTGCTGAGGATGATTATGAGAATAAAACAATCAGCATCTCCAGACATCATTGTGTTGGGTTTGGGTGTGGGCTAGGGCCTGGGCCTGGGGTATGTCCATAGGAGGTCCAAGGGCATACTCACACATGTGTATGTGAAAGGGAGAGAAAGAAGAGCACAAGATATTCATGACCGAATAATATGGTGTTTTTAATCGGTCCATAGGTCATTTTCACCCAAATGGACTAAATAATTTACTTCAGTATGCCAAACACCAGAAAGTTTTGGGAACATTAAAACATACTGCATTAATCAGTCAGGGAAAAGCTTATCCATAGGGAGAGAGTACCATTCTGGATACTAACAAACTAACATGTGACAAACACACATGTTGGTACTTGAAGATCACACATGTCAAAATAAGAACTAGTTGCAGAAGCATAACTGCCTTAACAAGTAAAACAAGAACTAGTTGCTTCAAATTTCAAAAGACAATTCTATAAAAGCACACAAATAATCTAAAATGATTTTACTTGGGGCTATTTGCTAATTGCAAAACCATATCCCATTTTTAGGTGATGGCTTTAAGACATTTCAGTTTCCAAAATTTGATTTATGTTTGTTTCATTTCAGCACTTTTTATACGCCAAATTTAACAGCAAAAATTTGGATAGGCAATTTCGATTAAAGTGCATGAACAATTCAAAAATGGTTGTACTTGGGGCTATTTGCAAATTCAAGACTATGGTATCCCATTTTTGCTAACAGCTTCACCACATTAAGTTTCCCCCATTTGATTTATGAATAGTTTGAAAGAGCAAATTCTTGTTACAGAAGTTAAGTGTAGCATTTATAGAAGACTGCAGTGAAATGCTTCAAAACCCTGGTGCTTCTACTTGCCGATTACCAGATTTAATTTAATGACAAGAAAGAGAAATAAAATCTTTTAATGACAAGAAAGAGAAATAAAATCTTTTAATGACAAGAAAGAGAAATAAAATCTTCTCTCTTATCTTCTTCTTTGACCTTCTTCTTCACCCTTCGATTCCTTGTTTCTTGGGTTACAGTTTTGACCATTTCTCTTCTCATTGGTAATCATCTTAATAATAGTTTTCACCGGAAGATATCCCTTATAGCAAAAATCTAAGATGCATCTGTGATTGATCAATAGTAGCACTGTCTTCTATCACAGCTAGTGGTGGAGGCATCAGCTACAGCAATCTGAGTCATTTTCATGGTGGTCCTTTTAAATATTATAGATCAAGTAACTGTTATTTATTGCTGTATCCTTGGAGTGCTTTTAGCGAGTGCCAAATGAATTGAAAATCACAAGCAGATCATGTAAGCCCAAATTTGTTTATTTTTCCTTTTCATTATTTTTTTCAAAATGTAATTTCAAATCACACCATGAAGCAAAGAGAGGGAGAAGAGACATGAAACAGCAGGCAATGCAAAAGCAAGAAAATTGTCAATTTGCATTTGTTTAAAGAACATTACCTCTGAAGAACTTAGGCGCTGTTCCCAAGCTTTAAAAACTGTTTTGACACTTCCAGGAGCAGCCTCATTCAACGCAGATACCTTTAGAATGCAATTTAAACAAAATAAGTTCCAATTCTTTTCTCAGATTCTCAAAAGAGATGTACATCATATGAACTAGGTGCCCAATTAGAATAGTATAACTATCAAAGGAAACCAAAAATGGTACCAAGTAATCAAAAATCTACAACACTACTTCTGTACTCTAATAATTTCACTAGCACACTTGTAAGAACAGCATATTGACCACAAAACATAATAAAGATCGCCCGTCAGTTTCCAACAATAACCGAAATCAGCCATTTTTCTTGTCAAATTTCATTTCAGTTACATCTGAAGGCATGATCAAGCACGGTAATTTAAAAAAGCTTACGATACTCCATCAAAAATCCGATTATCAGTCCAAAAAATTAACACCAAAACACATTAACCGGTGAGCTCTTATTGTGGTGCAATTATCAAACTGAGAAACGATTCCAGAATTATCAGCAAGAGAATGGCGAATTCCTACAGAAGAAAGGGTTTCAAGGAAAAGGGGACAAGATTCACTGACCTTAGGGATGTCTATGTGTTTGTAGAGGGACCAATCGGATGAACAATCGTGATCTTCGCAGCTGTGATCATGCAAGCACGCCATATTTCTCGCTTGATTTCTCTGTAAACGGAGGCAATCGGAATTCGAACGGCGATGGCGATCTCCAACAATCTCTGCTCGACACGGAATGAACCGGAATAAATTCGGTGTTTTAACAAAGTGAAAGAAAACCCGTCGTCTGACGGTTCAGCCCGGCCGGAACTTACACGTCATCGACCTAATTTCTTTTATACTTATCCGTAGGACAAAATTACGATTTAAAAATAAATAAATTTGTTTTCAGCTTGTTTTAATTTATTTTTAAATGTATAATTTAAAAATAGGCTTTTAAAATAATAATCGAATTAAAGTGCACGTTTAAATATATTTTCTTTCAAAAACTTTAAGGTTTTTAATTCAATTTTTTCTCCATTTTTTATATATGTTGAAAATTAATTTATTTCATTCTTGATACATATTTAATAAATATTGCAATTAAATTTACATATACATTAATATTAACTAGAAGGGTACTCGTGCAATACATCAAGACACATCTCGATTTCAACGTTTTGTTTTATTCTTTATCTATGTCGATATAATACGGTTTTATCTGGTTTTAAAAAAACCATAATATCTTTATTTTTTAATATAATATCATAAAATTTTGAAAAAAAAACTATATCGATATTAGCATCAAATTAACCATTTAAAAGTTTTTGTTTTGTGTGATTTCTTTAATTCAAAAGTTTTATTATAATTTAATTTAGGTTTATAATATAAGTTTTTATAAAGATAATAATCAAGTGTTTTGTTATAACTTAATGATTATCCTAATTATATTTTAGAATTTTTTATATTTAAAATGAGATGTTTATCATGTATTTACATAGACCTTTAATAAACTGTACTTACGCACAATTTACTTGTAATCTTGAATTTTAAGTAATATACATCCATAAACAATACTTCATGCATGAAAAATAGTTTTTAAAAGTTTTTGTCAAATTGTTTATAATATAGTATAGATAAGAGTCAACTTTATAACTAAATACTAGAATTCAAGTTAGATTCATCCAATTTACAACATACAAACACTGACCTTAGCATATATGCTCTTGTCCATTACTACAGCAAAGTTCTTACTCGTAAGAAATTGGTCTGACTCGCAACAAGATAACATAATATCAAAACGCTTGAATGTCCCCGTCTTTGTGAACTTGATTTTGAGGTTATATCAGTTTCTATATGAAATATATAATTTAAGTAAATTGTTTTGTGTATTTTTATATATCTAAAGGCACTTTACAATAAGCAACATCTTTTTGCACTGACGTAAAGGTATCGTAGGAAAGACATATCACCTTATGCAGAATTTTGGTAGAAAGTAACTCCAAAAGGGTGTCGGTATGGTGCAGGGGATACGTTTCTTGTACCTGGTGAAAACTCCTAACTTGTGAAATGTGTAACACCCTAGAAATGGGATGACAAAAATTCCCAAAGATACACTATACGAGCTTTTTCAAAAACGAAAACTTAAATACGTCAGGTAATTACAATTTGTAACAAATATGTTTAGGATAACAACCTCCAAATGTAATTCCTTAAGAGAACAATATTACAATCGAGGTGTCGTCTAAACCACCAAAATGAAATAAGAAGATGGCGTCTCAAAATGCTCCCCCAAAGCTCTCTAACGCGACTAGAAGACCACCTAAGCAACTCTACTGCTAGGACCTGTGGTTCAAATGGGTGAAATGTTACGTATCATTACTTTCAAACCGTCAATTCCATGATATTTTTAGGCTTTTATTATTAAAATGAGTATACCCACCTTTATATAACCCTGATTTTGCATAAATGATACGCAACATTTCACTCATTTAAAACCACATTGTCGCCATGTTGAAATTCATTGATTAACTGGCAGGACAAATCCCTCGAGTTAAAATATTCATGACTCTGTCATCTGACTATATAGAAAGGACATGCGGCTGCTCGATATCTTCAGTTTCCATTTAACCACTAACACTTAAAGTTTAAAGAACGTTCACTTTAAACCTTAATTTTTAATATTGCTTTTGTCACACGTTGTCGTACTTATAGGATATTATACCTGATACAAAGTGTCATAAGTTTATTCCCAATATCAATATTCATTTCCCCAATCAAGCAAATGCACACAACAAACAAATCAACAGTGTCATTAAAAAACTGATTAAATGTCGTATATATACAAAGACTTAACTGTAATTTCGGTCGTTAATCAACAAATTCCTTAAGAAAAGTTACAAACTTTATTGTATTTTGCCAATCATTTATGAACCAAACGCCACAAGTTTCTTCCAACACGCCTTATGCCTATATGTGCAATCTTTAACCTCAATGAAACTGAACATTTCTTGCACTTCTAAGACATCTTTAAAATATCAAAGACAGTTTTTTTCTAGTTGAATAATCAAGACATGACAAATATTCGGAATCTATTAACAAATTATAGTTTTTAAAATAAAAAAATTATTTAATTAGGATATGTGATGTTAACCCATTTTATTTTTATTCATGTTATATGTAATGATTATTTAAAATCATTAATTAATGTAAATCTTTTCTAAAATTATTTTTAACAAATCCAAAATTATAATATATATAATAAATTTATATTTTTTTTAGTTAACATATTATATTATTTAATTTTTCTTTATTGTTTGTATTAATTAATACATTATATTATTAAATATTTGTTTTAATTATATTGTGAAATATTGTAATTGACTAATTTTTCAAAGTGCCCGTTTTTGGTCATTTTACACGGGTATCATCTAGTTTTTGTTAAATATGATTTGTTCAACAACTTATCAATTATCAGCTAGTTTATCAGATAGTTTACCAATGATAGCTTAACAAAACAAAATTAGGTTTAATAGCTAACATTGCAATTTGAACTAAATCAATTATACTACAAGTTGCACCTTTAAATTAAGGTGTTGTTTACCTAAATGCTTACCCGGTAAGTGCTTACCAATAAGAGTCAACACTATAATTTATTTTGATGAGTAAGATTTTAATACATCAAAACGTATTGAATGCAACAATTTACCGGATAAGCGCTTACCTGAGTACGAGTCGTAATCTTCACTTACTGGGTAAGACTCTTCATCCTTCTCACCACTCTTACCAGGTAAGATTCTTGGCCCTCGTCATATTTATACGTTAAGAAAATTTATTCGGTAAGCACTTACCGAGTAAACATTTAATAAACGGGCCCTAAATAAATAGCAAGATTCAAAAATGGGTTTAGGAACAGGAAACTTTTGCATTAGGAATTTGGTTGGTGAAGGGGCTAAAAATATATATAATGAATTCTTAAACCATCTTCAATTCAATATTAAAAATATTTAGGGGGTGTTTGGAATTGTTTATTTGAAACAACTTATCTTTTTCTACAAAAGCACTTATCAATTTATTATAAGTCAGAAGGGTTTAATTTATTCAAAAACTACCCTCAAAATTGCTTATTACCGGTGCCACACAAAAATAAGTCAATAAGTTATTTTTATAAGCAATTCCAAACGCCCCCTTAAAATACAAAAACATAGTTGTTTTCATCTCTAACCAAACAAACTCTAAAAATAATGGAGGTTCAAAATGTTGTCATCTATATTTGAAGGTCAATAAAATAGATCTCTAAAAATATATATTAATATTTTATTCAGCCTTTAAAACATTAAAATAAAGATGTATATCATTACATTGTACGAATATTCTTTTAGTATATTTAAATCGAACAAAACTTTACTTAATAAATATTATTATTTATAATAAAAAATATTTTTTTTTGAAAATAATAAATTTAGTTGGTTTTTGTAAAAAGAGCGCAGACTTTGAGCAAGTGGGACATTTTCCTCCCTTATATTTATCCAAACACATCTCTTGCAGGCCTTCTTCAACGACCTTCTTTTCTCTCTCTCTCTCTCTCTCTCTCTCTCTCTCTCAAGGATTCACATGTATCCAAACTCCAATTCCTCTTCTGGATCTCAAAGAGATCCTAATCACGCTATCAATGGCAGCAGCAACACCACCGGTGGAGGAGGATTAGGTCTCGCTCGCTATCGATCTGCTCCTGTCTCCTTAACCACCACCGTAGACTCCGTCATCGATGCACAAGGACAAAATACCGTCGGAAATCACATGGTTGCCGGAGGCGGTACACCAACTCGCTACTTCTCACCTACAGACACGACGTCGTCACAGCTCTCCTCCTCCGTCTCCACCAGAGATCGGTTGCAAACGACGTCATTCCGTTTAAACGAGTTCGCATCCGCTTTTAATGGTTTGAAAGGTAATACTACGACTCAGACTACTCCATCTCCGTTATTCCGGCACGGCAGCTCTCCCGCCGGTTTTCTCAACACCCTCACCTCTTCTACCCCCACCGGTACGTATCCTCAATTTCTCGCCATTTTCCTCTTATATCTTATAAAACTTAATCCATTTATAATCATTAATTAGCTTCAAAAACTCGATTAAATAACTACAACTACTTGGAAGTATCTTATAAGTTATATATAACCCATCGATTTACGTACATAATGACCTAAAAGTTTTGATGGCATTACATAAAATAGTAAAATACAGAGATATTTTAGTAGAGAGTTTAAACGAGAACAAAGTTAAAATAAGATAATATGAGAACATCATGTGATTTTATACTAAAAATTGTATACGATTCAGGTTCGGTCAACGTATGGCTAGGTAATAGGTTGACCGAACCTGAATCATGTGTGATTTTTAGTTCAAAATCACATTTAATACACGTGTTTATGTGCCTTTTTATTTTGATCTTGTTATAGTTTGAACTCAAAACTTATTTCTTAGACCATGTATATATACATATGTATGTACTCTTTTTTTTTGTATTAAGAAAAACCCTAGAAATATTATATGCATATATAATCGTTTTTAAATTTACGTATGTAGTTTGCTATAAATGTTTCAAAAATGAATCTTTTCGAGATCCTTAACGTCATATTCATTACCTTTTAATAATATAACCATATGCCCTTTTCAAAACAATAAATAACCAAAATAACAGCTAGCTTTTAAACGACAGTTAATGTGAAGATGTTTTTTCAAACCTACAAAAATTCTTAATTTGTTTCGGTATTTGATGTATTTTACATGATAATTTGGTAAATAAACCTTGAAATTGGATATTTAAAATCACAAGTAAAATTTCACACATTGATTATTTTATATTTTTACATACGAATACATTTTTAAACACGTTTATTGTTACACATTGACCGTAAAATATAAAAATATATTGTAAAAACATAAAATCGTAGGGACATGCAATATACATATGTGTGTGTGTTTGACGTCATATGGCTTTAAAAATAAAATAACACAAGCGATGTTTGTGAAATTTTGAAAAAATTAACTTCACAGTTTTTATTATAGTTTTTGGAAGATATTTCTACCAAAATTCAAACCAGGCAACTAAAACACTATATAGGACCTATAATTCATGAAATGAGATATTTAAGGGTGTTTGGGATTGTTTATAAAAACAACTTATTGATTTATTCCGATGTGATATCGGTAATAAGCATTTTTGAGTGTTTGGATAAACAACTTAAAATTATACATGTGTCAAATAATAAAGAGTTTTTGAAGAAGTTAAACCATTCATAAACACTTTTATAGAAAAACAAAAATTATTTCAAATAAGCAATCTCAAACGCCCCTTAAAAAGATAGTTCATGATTATATATATTTTAGCTCTTAACATATGATTAGAATTTTTTGATGTTTTTAATTGCACATCTTTATAAAATAAGAATGAACAATATATCTTTATTATTCTTATAATCATATAAATTATATAACTCCCATTCATGTGTAATCCAATTAAATTTGCCAAATTAAATTCAAATTTTAATAAATTTATATATGGAAAATACTATTATTGCTTGAGCATTAATTTGATCATAGCATTTCAATTTAAATGATATGGTTAACACAATTACGAGAATTTAAGTAGATAATCTTCTTAATAATCATGAAAATAATATGTAGCATCACGTATTTTTAATTTGAATATATAAATAAAGATTGTATAAAAATACGTACCATCACGTATTTTAAAGTCACATGAAGCAAAATGTTAAAGAGCAATAATACAATGTCTAGTTACAATTATGTGGGCAAGTGGGACTTAAAGTATCATCCATTGCCATCGGTTTTGGAAATCGCCCATGGTTTTGATAAACGTGATGTTTGATATTTGAATAATTTGACCCTAAAATTACATAAAATAATATATATATATATATATATATATATGTATATATATATATATAGAGGTGGAGGTTTAAACGAGAACCCATGTGATTTACGAGAATGCGAGAACAACTTAATAACCTCAAATTTTTTAATTAATAAATTAACTTTTATTATATATAAATAATTTAATAAGGGCAATAATGTAATTAAGTAATTTTTATAATTTTTATTTTATTTTATTTTAATTAACCATAATTATCCTATCACGTTTCCACGTTTTACTCTTGTTAGTTTTCTTCTTCTCCATGTCGTTCATGCTTCTTCTCCATATCACACGATTATCACACCCATATCACACGATTATCACACCCATATCACACGATTATCACACCTATATCACATGATTATCACACTCATATCACATGATTACACCAAAAATTTAACTTGTCAACCAAAACGATAACTCAAGTGATGTATAACGGTGATTATCACACACATATCACACCCATATTACATGATTACACCAAAAATTTAACTTATCAACCAAAACGATAACCCAAGTGATGTATAACGGTGATTATCACATCCATATCACATGATTACACCAAAAATTTAACTTATCAACCAAAACGATAACTCAAGTGATGTATAACGGTGATTAACACACTCATATCACATGATTACACCAAAAATTTATCACATGATTATCGTGTAATCGTGTTAAAATATTTGATGATATCATTTCCATTATTACCTTTTTAATTTTAATATTTTTTGAATCTTTTTAAATTTCAATTTTAATTTTAAAAATCTTTTAGTTTTATTTTTTATCACAATATGAGGTTATTGAATTGTTTTTGCGTTCTCGTAAATCACAGGGGTTATCGTTTAAACCATTCCCTATATATATATATATATAGAGAGAGAGAAAGAGAGAGAGAGGGGTTTGAATAGTAAATAAATTGTTGTTTTGAACTCAGAAATGTCGTTTATAATTAATCAACAAGCAGAAGAAATATGTAAATATAAAAGGAAACATATATATTTAGAATGTAAAAAGGAAATGTATATATACATATACATAAGTATATGAGTTTAATCATTTGATAAGTTTAAAATATGTGAAATCCATAAGATCTATCTTAAGTCACCAATTTAAAATAATTAATGTTATTAATTAAAAAGATAATTATCATTATTTATTAAGTAAAAATCAATGTATTTTTAGGAAATTTCATACTTATCTTTTGCTCTTTCTCCTATATCCGTATTAACAAACACATCGTGCACACAAGGTAAAAACATTGTGAACACAATGTAAATAATTTTGATAATTTTTTTCTAGGGTGTCCAGTGTCCACAAGTGATGTGTTTAGATTTATTTTTATTGATTTAGTTTATATTCACAAGTTATATCAGATCTCATAAATTTAGAGTGTGTTCGCAAACCATAGTAGTATTTTAAGGAAATGTTCACAATGTATTCATGTAACATTCAAGCTAACCGTATCAAATGTTAAAATCGTCTATAGGGGAGGTATCTAATTCTTACAAGGCAACTTTAGTTCTTCTCTCCAACCTATTTGGAATCTTGCACTTCACCTTGACAAGGCAACTTTAGTTCTTCTCTCCAACCTAATTTTTTATTTATACTAGAATTTTTAGTTAACTACCACAATTTTCGTCTATGTGGTTTGTGAAAAAGATTGTGATTTTCATCCTTGTGTTTTTGAAATTTTGATTTTTTACCTTACGGTTATTGTTTTTTTTTTCTCCATGAATTGTAATTTATTATTTTTTTTTATCATTGAGACTAAATTTATTAAAAGTCCTCCATTTAACTTAGGGGTATTTCAGTCTTTTTATTACTTTATTAAATATCTTTTTTGGTTTTTTTTTTTTTGGTATTTTAGTCTTTTTGTTTTAACGAGACTACATATTTTTGTGATAGAATAATTAATTCATAAAAACATTATTATATTATTTTATTACTATTTATGATAAAATAATTCAAAAAATTCATACAATTCATTGTTTGGTCTAGTTGAGTGGCTTTTACATGATGGTATTTTAATTTCTTTTTCTTCATCAGGGACTAAAGGATTAAATTTCTTATATGATCAAACAATTAATTCACTATATTAGGTTGTTTTTTATCAAATAAATGTATGTGATTTTATTAATAAAACATATAATTTTTATAAACTTATTGTAACACATTTATATGAGACATACATTTGTTTGGTGTAATTGATTGATTTATGAGACCAAACAATTTTACGTCTTATCAATAAAATTATTGTTTAGTTCTATAAAAAATATAATCTTTCGGTCTCTAATGAAGAAGAATTAAAATACTCTTATGTGAAGAGTACTTGCCTTGCACTTGAAGAATGATAGTGGTAGAATTGAAATCATAAAAAGTTAGAACTATAATGACCAAAACAAATAGTCGTACTAAATTTTTTTCTGATTACTTTATTATAAACAATAATAAAATAATATAAATTATTTTATCTATTAATCTTTTTATCAATATATATATATATATATATAGAGAGAGAGAGAGAGAGAGAGAAAGAGAGAGAGAGAGTTTGTTTCAAATGCAACTCCTCACATTTGTACAACCAATTCAACCTAATAAATTAAGATGTTTATGGAAATGATGAGAATTCGTTTATTATGATTTGGATATTTATGGATGATGAATATAGTTCATTAATTGTGATCAATACTTTATATTATGAAACAATCAAAACTTCTATGAAATCACATATTCATCAAATTAAATGGACGGTTGATATTAGCTTGTATTAGTTGTACAAATATAATGAGTTGTATAATAACAACCTCTATGTATATATATAGTTTTATCAAATCAAAAATACCAAAAAAAAGATACTAAAAATATATTTAATAAACCAAAAAAGAAAAATAAATCAAAAAAACTAAAATATCCCTAAGTTAATGGAGGTTTTTAACATATTTAGCATCGGAGACGAAAACGATAATAAATTACGAAACAATAGGGATGAAAATGGCAATGTCAAAACCATAGGGATGAAAATCATAGTTTACTCTAGATTTTTTTTCCCTGTAATTTTTGGTGGTTTAAATTGGAACTCAAGTATCTTTGAAATTATCAAGTTT